GAATAAGATTTGGGAGTGTACATGTGCCTCGGCTGTTTAATGAGGAAGTGCTAGAATAAGATTTGGGAGTGTACATGTGCCTCGGCTGTTTAATGAGAAAGTGCTAGAATAAGATTTGGGAGTGTACATGTGCCTCGGCTGTTTAATGAGAAAGTGCTAGAATAAGATTTGGGAGTGTACATGTGCCTCGGCTGTTTAATGAGAAAGTGCTAGAATAAGATTTGGGAGTGTACATGTGCCTCGGCTGTTTAATAAGAAAGTGCTAGAATAAGATTTGGGAGTGTACATGTGCCTCGGCTGTTTAATGAGGAAGTGCTAGAATAAGATTTGGGAGTGTACATGTGCCTCGGCTGTTTAATAAGAAAGTGCTAGAATAAGATTTGGGAGTGTACATGTGCCTCGGCTGTTTAATAAGAAAGTGCTAGAATAAGATTTGGGAGTGTACATGTGCCTCGGCTGTTTAATAAGAAAGTGCTAGAATAAGATTTGGGAGTGTACATGTGCCTCGGCTGTTTAATAAGAAAGTGCTAGAATAAGATTTGGGAGTGTACATGTGCCTCGGCTGTTTAATAAGGAAGTGCTAGAATAAGATTTGGGAGTGTACATGTGCCTCGGCTGTTTAATGAGGAAGTGCCAGAATAAGATTTGGGAGGGTACATGTGCCTCGGCTGTTTAATGAGGAAGTGCTAGAATAAGATTTAGGAGTGTACATGTGCCTCGGCTGTTTAATGAGGAAGTGCTAGAATAAGATTTGGGAGTGTACATGTGCCTTGGCTGTTTAATGAGGAAGTCCTAGAATAAGATTTAGGAGTGTACATGTGCCTCGGCTGTTTAATGAGGAAGTGCTAGAATAAGATAGCTGCCTTGTATCCACACCTGATTTAAGTCCGACAGAGCCGTCGACTCCAATCCCTGGGTTACCTGATGAATGAACAGAAATTACTTGCATCTTTACCCAGGCAAAAATCTGTAACTTAGCTTTTGCTTCTACGAGAAGTAATTGCCCAAACAAAACATCAAGCCCAGCACAGCACGGAAAGAACACTCATTTGCTTCTTTTCAAGTTTCAGGTACATTTTCTGACAACTGCATAAAAATAGAATGTCTGGGTTTTCTTCATATCAAAAATTATATTTAACCGTGTGCCTAATTACATATATCAAAGTATGGAAAATGCTCATGTCGCAGCAATATCACGGCATCTGGCAAGGACCCGCTCCTCGTAGATGCTGCCTCCCGTACACCTTCACATGGTGCAAGGAGCAGGCAAGTTCCCTACAGCCTCTCGGATAAGGGTTCTCATCCCATTCATGAAGGCAGAGCCCTGGTGACCCGATCACCCCCGGAAGCCTTCACCTTTTCATACCAGTGCGTTGAAGACGAGGACCTCACACACCAACTTGGGAAGAAAACAAATCCAATTCTGCCCCCAGAGTAAATGTCCTTCTCACATGCAAAACAGGATCACTCTCACGAGCCCCACATGTTGTTGTTAACTTGTTCCAGCATCAGCTCAACAGACCTTATCTACATCAGATGATGGGTGAGACTCAATGTACGGTTGATTCTGAGCCTGTGAAATCAAACAAGTTTTGTGCTTCCAAAATCCAACAGTGGGGCAGGTAGAAGATAGATATTTTCATCCCAACAAAGAAGAATGAGAAGGAAAAAAGAGGTAACAGATCTCAACCCAACAGGGCAAACAACATTCCGTCTTAAGGCTTGAGAATAATGTTCTGTGACTCAATGGTCTTCCTTCCAAACACACTGAGGTGGGACGTGGGCCCCCCAAGGCTCCAGGCAGCCCCACTTTCAGGGCGTTGCTGGGCATAGCCCATGCCACAGCTCTAGCAGGCTGGAGTCAGGTGCCTGAAGCTCTTTGAGATGAGAGGTACAGGCTGGTGGCTCTACCATTCTCAGGTCTAGGGGTGGCTCGGCCTCAATAGCTTTGCTACGAGTTGCCCTAGTAATGACTGTTTGTAGTGATCCTGTCTCTGACAATTCCCCGTCAGGGATCTGAGGCTCTCGATGGCATCCTTTGCAAGCCAAGTGGCGCTAACCACATATTGATAGCTTATGTGCTCTGTGCACCCCTGGAGGTGGCACATCGTGCATGCTGCCATGGTTTACTACCTGTGCTATCTAAAGGATGCCCTGAGCTGCACCTGGGGTGACCAAGAGGTATGCAGGCAGCAAAGACTTGAAATCGTTCTGTCCCCAGTGCCCATGCATTCCGGGCCTATGATAGGTGTGGTAGCCCCAGAATTCTTTAAAATGCCTTCAGGGTCATTCCCCTACTGTTTTTACGAACAGCATCTAACTTCCTTCTATCAGTACTAATCTCCTTATCAAATATTCACTTGGCAACACCTTGGTCTTCTCTCCCGAAGATACTTTTTCAGTCTTTACCACGTGGAGAGTCTCTTAAATCTTTATGTTCTGCTTCCCTTTTGATTATAAATTATGTCTTTAAAGAGTTTCTGTCTTCTTGCATTTCACTATAAGCAGTCAAAGAAGCCATTCTGTGCCCTCAACGCTTTGCTTAGATATTTCTTCTGCCAAATATCCTTCTTCATTGCTGACAAGTTCCTCCTATTATGAACTACGATGACACAAATGCAAATCAGCCCAGTTCTTTGTCACTTTATAACAAAGATCGTCTTTCCTCCAGTTTCCAGTGACGTGTTCCTCATTTCCGCCTGAGACTACTTCAGAAAAGATGGCCTTTACCAACCGCATTCCTATCACCATTCTGATCACGACCACTTAGGAAATCTCTAAGATTGAGGCTTTCTCTACAGCTCTCCTCTTCTGAAACCTCATAGAAATCACTTTTAAAGGTCCATTCATGGTCATATAGGGTTTTTTTTTTCTAGCATGTATTGACAAATTATTTCAACCCCTCTGCCCATCATCCAGTCCCAAAGCCACTTCACATTTTCAGATATTTGTTATAGCAATGCCCCACTCTTTTGTGCTACTTTCGGTCTTAGACCATTTGAGCTGCTGTAGATTGAGTAAAATGCCTTAGACTGAGTGACTTACAACAACGTAAACATTGCTTGCAGTTCTGCAGGCTGGGAATTCTAAGAGGAGAGCACCAGCAGATTCGGTGTCGGGCAACTATGTGCTCCTGATGGATGGCATCTCCTGTGCACCCTCACACGACAGAAGGGGCAAACAAGCTCCCTGGGGCCTCTTTCATAAAGGCACTTATCCTGTTCGTGAGGGCAGAACCCTCGTGATCTAACTATCTTCTGAGGGCCACACCTCTTAGTACAATCACTGTGGGGCTTGGTTTCAATACGTGAATTTGGGGGACATGATCATTCAAACCAGCATCAATAATGCAAAATGGACAAGTGCCACTTCCAGAAAATTTAATTAAGATCCATTCATTCAAACACTTTTACACTGCTGGTGGGAGTGTAAACTAGTTCAACCATTGTGGAAGACAGTGTGGCGATTCCTCAAGGCCTTAGAAATAGAAATTCCATTTGACCCAGCAATCCCATTACTGGGTATATATCCAAAGGACTATAAATCGTTCTACTATAAGGACACATGTACACGAATGTTCATTGCAGCACTGTTTACAATAGCAAAGACCTGGAACCAACCCAAATGCTCAATGATGATAGACTGGATTGGGAAAATGTGGCACATATACACCATGGAATATTATGCAGCAATCAGAAATGATGCGTTCGTGTCCTTTGTAGGGACATGGATGAATCTGGAGAACACCATTCTCAGCAAACTGACACAAGAACAGAAAATGAAATACTGCATTTTCTCACTCATAGGTGGGTGATGAAAAATAAGAACATATGGACACAGGGAGGGGAGTACTAAACACTGGGATCTATTGGGGGGAAAAGGGGAGGGCCAGTGGGAGGGGGAGGTGGGGAGGGATAGCCTGGGGAGAAATGCCAAATGTGGGTGAAGGGGAGAAAGGAAGCAAAACACACTGCCATGTGTGTACCTATGCAACTGTCTTGCATGTTCTGCACATGTACCCCCAAACCTAAAATGCAATAAAAAATTTTAAAAAAAGAAAAGAAAAATTTCTTAATAATAATAGGTCATAGGTAACATTTATTAATCACTTCCGACGTTCCAGAGCTTGCCTTTTACATCTGTTATATTGTTTATGCCAAAACTTGGAGGAATACCTACCATTGCTGTCATCATCCATTATTATTAACCCCTGACTCACACAGGCTAAAATAACTTGCTCAAAATTTTACCTAATAAGTGGCGGGGCTGAGATACAAGCCGATGTCTCTGTCGTAACAGAATCTAACTCTTGCAGAAATGTCAGCTAGTACCAGCCACAGTTCTTGATGCTGAGAATAGTATGGTTGATAAGACACAGCTCCTGCACTCAGGAAGCTCGAGTCAAATGCGAGAGGTGAACAAGCAGCTGTGGATTGCAGGATTTAAGTATTATTTTGCGGCAACGACAGACAAGAGGCTTTGAGGGTATATGGGAAAAGCACTGAAACCAATACTGGGGACCAAAGGAGGCTTTTTAAGGAAACGTCTTTATAAATACAGTATCGCTGAGTCTGGTAATGTGATTTGATTTTCTACGTGTTTGCTTTCTACATTCATTAACTCACCACAACGAATGCAAAATTGCAGCCCATTACCAGCCTGTCTTCTTTATTCCTAACTAAAAAAGGAGGTCAGAAATGATAGTTTTTTTAATGTAAATAAATGCCAAGCTTTCGTAAAGAACCATGATTTCAGGGTGTAATTTTTTTATTTTTAAAATAAAAATTGATCATTGTAATACTTGTAATTTAACTCCTAATAATACTTTCATGAGTTAGTTACTGGGTATTCCATTTATGTATTAATATCATCTTAAATTTCAAAATCTAGACCAATACATCTATATTAAAAAGGAAAGGGATGTCAACCGAGAAATCATGTTCAGTCAAAAGTTTCTGTGCATCGAGGTAAACTCCTTCTAACCTTTCCTACCCCAGTACCTTCAGGTCAGAGTTTTCCTCAGTCTTCTTTACCGGAACCTTCAGGCTGACACATACGCCTTCCCAGAATCTTCTAAAGAACATGATTTCTACAGGTCTCTCTACATAGCTGGGCTCTTAGTGCCATCTACTGAACATTTACAAAGTGCTAACAGAGAATCAAATACAAGAAGACTTTACTGAGAACCTGCGTTTTAATGATATTTGAGGCATATAATTTTTAAAAATCCATTTATCATTGCTATTTCTGAATATTCATGCACTTTCCACAAATTTTATAGTCTCAAAAATTAAAGATAATTTATAAAGTATTAAAAGGGGGTCTTGCTTCTATGAAGGAGCATTTCATTACATTTTACAATTATTCTTAAAGAATTTCCTTAACATTCACACTCTTAGATTTTTGTCTGTTATTCTCTTGACAGGGATGTAGAGCATTTCAAAATAAAACAAATTTTCTTTGCTTGCCTGGTGAAAATTTTTTCTGTTAGACATTCTCAATTTATTTGAATTTATTGATTCTATCCATGACATACAAGAAATATTGTTTAGCTTTAAGAATTAACGAGTATTGATTCTGTCTTTAGCTCCATGTCGGTGGGAGGAATGAGAGCACAAACATTACTTTTCATATGTTTCTCTTCCTCACTGCTCCTCTCATACTCCACAACCCAGGTTTGAAAAAGTTACTCTTGACCCTAATCTGACCTTATTTTATTATGGAAAAAGACTTCTTTTTTTTATTTTTTATTTTTTATTGCATTTTAGGTTTGGGGGTACATGTGCAGAACATGCAAGACAGTTGCATAGGTACACACATGGCAGTGTGTTTTGCTTCCTTTCTCCCCTTTATCCACATTTGGCATTTCTCCCCAGGCTATCCCTCCCCACCTCCCCCTCCCACTGGCCCTCCCCTTTTACCCCCAACAGACCCCAGTGTTTAGTACTCCCCTCCCTGTGTCCATGTGTTCTCATTTTTCATCACCCGCCTATGAGTGAGAATATGCGGTGTTTCATTTTCTGTTCTTGTGTCAGTTTGCTGAGAATGATGTTCTCCAGATTCATCCATGTCCCTACAAACGACACAAACTCATCATTTCTGATTGCTGCATAATATTCCATGGTGTATATGTGCCACATTTTCCCAATCCAGTCTATCATCAATGGGCATTTTGGTTGATTCCAGGTCTTTGCTATTGTAAACAGTGCTGCAATGAACATTCGTGTACATGTGTCCTTATAGTAGAATGATTTATAGTCCTTTGGATATATACCCAGTAATGGGATTGCTGGGTCAAATGGAATTTCTCTTTCTAAGGCCTTGAGGAATCGCCACACTGTCTTCCACAATGGTTGGACTAATTTACACTCCCACCAGCAGTGTAAAAGTGTTCCTTTTTCTCCACATCCTCTCGGAAAGATATAATGTAGCGTAGTTAACCCTTACTTACAATAGCAAAGCAAACTTGTCATACAGCTTTTGTGTTGTCCTTCACACCTCCCTAAGTTTATCATTTTCCCGGCATCAAGGGCAGAAATGCCTCTTTAGGAAGTAGGCAACTCAACAGATTAGGAGTACAGGAGAAAATTTTCAATTTGGTAAATAATACATATGAAAAGTCTACAGCTCACATGATACTTAATGATGGAAAACGTGAAGCTTTCTTGCTAAGATCAGGTAAAAGACAAGGGTGTCCCCTCTAGCTACACCTTTTCAACATTGTACTGCAAGTCCTAGCTAATGTAATAAAATAAGAAAATGAAATAAAAGGTATATTGATTGGGAAGAAGAAAATCAAACTATCTTTGTTCACAGGTAAGACTGCGTAGAAAATCTGAAAGAATCAGAAGTTAAAATGAAAATGAAAAACAAAGAGAATTCCTGAAACTAATGATCAATTGTATCAAGGATATAAGGCACTAGGTTAATGTATAAAAGAAAATTGTGCCAGGTGCGGTGGCTCACGCCTGTAATCCCAGAACTTTGGGAGGCTGAGGAGGGCAGATCAGGAGATCAAGAGATTTAGACCATCCTGGCCAACATGGTGAAACCCATCTCTACTAAAATACAAAAAAGTTAGTTGGGTGTGCTGGCACATGCCTGTAGTCCCAGCTACTCGGGAGGCTGAGGCAGGAGAATTGCTTGAACCCAGGAGGCGGAGGTTGCAGTGAGCTGAGATTGTGCCACTGCACTCCAGCCTGGCACCTGGCGACAGAGCAAGACTGTCTCAAAAAAAATAAAAGATAATTGCTTTCTTATAAGAGCAATAAATAATTGGAATTTGAAATTAAAAACACAATATCATTTATATTAGAACCTCCAAAAATGAAATACTTAGGTATAAACAAAATGTGAACAAGATCTATATGAAGAAAACTACAAAACCCTCATTAAAAAATCAAAAGAAAAATTAAACGTCACAAAAAAAATCACGTTAATGAATAAGAAGACACAATATTTTAATGTATCATCTCTTCTGAAATCAATCTGGAGATTCAGTGCAATTCCAATCAAAATCCCAGCAAGTTGTTTTGTGGATATCAAGAAACTTATTCTAAAGTTTGTATGGAAAAGGAAAAGACGCAGAATACCCAACACAATATTAAAAGAGAAAATAAAGTTGTAGGATTGGGACTGCCCAACTTCAAGAGTTACCATAAAGCTACGGTAATCGAGACAATACGGTATTGGTGAATGAACAAATAGAGTGACAGAGAGAATAGCAAAGCCAAAAATAAATCCATACAAACATATTCAACGTCTCTTTTCAAGGATGCAGAGACAATCACTGGAAAAAGATTGTTTTTTCAACAAGTGGTCCTGAGCAATTGGACATCTACATGCAAAAGAAAGAATCTAGATATAGACCTGACATCTTTCACGAAAAGTTAGCTCAAGATGGATCATAAACGTAAGTGTAAAATGCGAGACCATAAAATTCTTTGAAGATAACATAAGAGAAGATCTAGATAACCTTGAGTTTGGTGATAACATTTTAGATACAGTGCCAAAGGCACTATCTATGAAACAAGTTATTGATAAGTTGGACTTAATTAAAATGAACAAGTTCTGCTCTGCAAAACACACTGCTAAGAGAAGAAGACAATTTACACATTGGAAGGAAATGTTTGCAAAAGACATCTGATAAAGGCAGTCACCGAAAATATACAAAGAACTTTTAAAATACAACAATAAAAAATGAACAACTCAATTTAGAAATAGGCAAAATACTGAACAGGTGCCTTGGCAAAGAAGAAATATAGACTATATGGCAAATAAGCATATGAAAATATGCTCAGCGTTATATATAATTAAGAAACTGCTAATTAAAACAACAATGAGGTAATACTATGCATGCGATAGAGTGGCTACAATTCAAAACATTGACAATGCAAAATGTTAGCATGAGTATGGAGCAACAGGAACTTACATTCATTGCTGGTGCAAATACAAAATGATATACTCATTTTGGAAGACAATTTGGCAATTTCTTTTTTTCCCTCATATCCTACCTTAATTTATTTTTTTAATTTTTATTTTAGGCTCAGAGGTGCATGCGCAGGTTTGCTATATAGGTAAATTTCAAATCACAGGAGTCTGGTGTACTGATTATTTCACCACCGAGGTAATCAGCATAGTATCTGGTGGATAATTCCTTTATCCTCACCCTCCTCCCACCCTCAGCCCTCTAGCAGACCCTGGTGTCCATTGTTCCCTTCTTCTGTTCATGTGTACTCAATGTTTAGCTCCCACTTATAAGTGAGAATATGTGGTATTTGGTTTTCTGTTCCTGTGTTACTTTATTAGGGTAACGAACTCCAGTTGCATTCACGTTGCTGCAAAGACATAATCTCATTTTATTTTTATGGCGTGTGGTATCTCATGGTGTATATGTATCACATTTTCTTGATCCATTGATGGGCATTTAGGCTGGTTCTACGTCTTTTGCTATTGTGAATACTGCTGTGATGAACGTTCATATGCATGTGTCTTGATGGTAGAATAATTTATAATCCTCCGGGTGTATCTCCAGTAATGAGATTGAATGATTTATAATCCTCCGGGTGTATCTCCAGTAATGAGATTGAATGATTTATAATCCTCCAGGTGTATCTCCAGTAATGAGATTGAATGATTTATAATCCTCCGGGTGTATCTCCAGTAATGAGATTGAATGGTATATAATCCTCCGGGTGTATCCCCAGTAATGAGATTGAATGATTTATAATCCTCCAGGTGTATCTCCAGTAATGAGATTGAATGATTTATAATCCTCCAGGTGTATATCCAGTAATGAAATTGAATGGTATATAATCCTCCGGGTGTATCTCCAGTAATGAGATTGAATGATTTATAATCCTCCGGGTGTATCTCCAGTAATGAGATTGAATGATTTATAATCCTCCGGGTGTATCTCCAGTAATGAGATTGAATGGTATATAATCCTCTGGGTGTACATCCAGTAATGAGATTGAATGATTTATAATCCTCCGGGTGTATCTCCAGTAATGAGATTGAATGATTTATAATCCTCCGGGTGTATCTCCAGTAATGAGATTGAATGATTTATAATCCTCCGGGTGTATATCCAGTAATGAGATTGAATGGTATATAATCCTCCGGGTGTATATCCAGTAATGAGATTGAATGATTTATAATCCTCCGGGTGTATCTCCAGTAATGAGATTGAATGGTAGTTCTTCTTTTAGCTCTGTGAGGAATTGCCATACTTGTTTCCACAACAGTTGAATTAATTTACACTCCCACCAATGGTGTTCTGCTTTCTCTGCAACCTCACCAGCATCTGTTGTTTCTTGACTTTTTAATAATCACCATTCTGACTGGCATGAGACGGTATCTCACTGTGGTTTTGATTTCTGTTTCTCTAATTATCAGTGATACTGAGCTTTTTTCATATGCTTGTTGGCTGCATCTGTGTCTTCTTTTTAAAAGTGTCTGTTTATGTCCTTTCCTACTTTGTATTGGAGTTGTTTGTTATTCTCTTCTAACTTTGTTTAAGTTCTTATAGATGATGGATATTAGGCTTTAGTCAGATGCATAGTTTACAG